TCATAGGTTGATGTTCAACCACTGAGCCATGCTGGCTGGGCTTTTCTCTTATCATTGATGTTTCCCTCTTCCTCGCTCCCTCTTTCCCTTTCTCCAAAATCTGAAGTCAATAAAAAATAAATACATTAAAAAAAAAAGAATTAACCAATGAATGTATAAATAAGTGAAACAACAAAATGATGTTTCTCTCATTCCACCCTCTCCCTTCCTCTCTATCTAAAATCAATAAATTAAGAAAAGTTTTTTCATTATTATTGACACATTGCACTTACATAGAAAAAATTTTCAAGAGTATAAACATATTCAAAGAAAGTCTTCTTCCTCACCTTAGTATACTCCTTGGAGGCAACCATTTCCCACAGTTTAAGGGGTTCTTATAACTTTAGAAAATATAATTTCAAAATGGGTAGTTTTGGCTTTAAAAAGGATTAAATACCATTTTGTTCCCAGGGTATGTTAATATATTTATTTTATAATTACTAAGTAAATTATTAGGGCTACAAAAAGTTATAGTGGTGGTCTTAGGAGCAAAACTCTCTAGGGAAATTTTATAGCAGGCTAGCCAGTCTCAAGAGCATAGCTAAAGACTTGCTTTCTTAACCTTCTTTCTAAAATTTCTTCTTTTGCCCTAACTGGTTTGGCTCAGTGGATAGAACTTCGGTCTGCGAACTGGAAAGGTCCTGGGTTCAATTCTAGTCAAGGGTACAGGCCAGGTTTGCAGGCTGGATCCCCAGTAGAGGGTGTGCAAGAGGCAGCAGATCAATGATTCTCTGTCATTACTGATATTTCTATTTCTCTCTCCCTCTCCCTTTCTCTCTGGAATCAATAAAAGTATATGAAAAAACTATTAAGAATGCTAAAATAAATAAACAAATAAATAAGAGTTTGTGACTAAATCAGGAGATAGGGTCTTTTTTAAAAAATATATATTTTATTGATTTTTTTACAGAGAGGAAGGGAGAGGGATAGAGTTAGAAACTCGATGAGAGAGAAACATCGATCAGCTGCCTCCTGCACACTCCCCACCGAGGATGTGCCCGCAACCAAGGTATATGCCCCTGACCAGAATCGAACCTGGGACCCTTGAGTCTGCAGACTGACGCTCTATCCACTGAGCCAAACCGGTCAGGGATATCTTTTTTTTTTTTTAATGATCTCACTTATGTTTTATTTTTTTCCAGTAAAGTCTTAGATTATTTATTTATTTAATATATATTTTAAATATATATGTATATTTTATTGATTCAAAGAGGAAGAAGGAGGGAGGGAGGGAGGGAGGGAGAGAGAGAGAGAGAGAGAGAGAGAGAGAGAGAGAAACATCAATGATGAGAGAGAATCATTGATCAGTTGCCTCCTGCACGCCTCCCACTGGGGATTGAGCCTGCAACTCAGGCATGTGTCCTTGACCGGAATCGAACCTGGTACCCTTCAGTCTGCATGCTGACACTCTATCAACTGAGCCAAACAGGCTAGGCTTATTTTTTATTTTAAATTTTTCAGTTACAGTTGACATACAATATTATATTAGTTTCTGCTGTACAACCCAGAGATCAGACACTACATAACTTACTAAGTGATCATCCCGATAAATCTAGTACCCATATGACACCATACATAGTTGTTAGAAGGTTATTGACTACTAGAGGCCCGATGCACAAAAATTGTGCTCGGGTAGGGTCCCTAGGCCTGGCCAGCAATCAGGGCTGATCGGGGCCTTCCAGTTGCCGGCCAGGGCCTTCCTTCCAGCTGCTGGCTGAGGAGATGGGTTCTTGTCCCAGCTTTGTCAATAATTTGCTGAGTGACCTGTCAAGTAACTCAACCTTAGTATTCTCTCCTGGGTTAACAATTATCAAGACAGAATGATATAACATTAGAATTGGCAGAGACTTCAGAGTTTATACAGTACAATTTCTTCATTTCATGGGGTGATTGAGCGACTTACCCATGAGCTTTCTAGAACAAGCTTTCAGTCTTGGCATCTTAGATCAGTGCTCTTTTGACTACATCAGGCTTTTTTTTTTTTTTTTTTTTTTTCAGTGTTGTTTCAAGATTCAAACAGACAGAAAAAACAAAAACAACCCCCAAAGTGAAAACACTAAACAAATATATGGCCTTTCACATAAAGCCAGATAACACTATTAATTATTACCCTGCACTGAAGCCTGCAAGCTTATCTGACAATATACTCTGTTTAACTTAAGGATGACTTAAAATGCAGGAACTATGTAAGGAAAGGTCAGAAAAAATAAGGGGAAATTAATGGTTGTCTTGGCGAATACTGGTAAACGGAAAATAAAACTCACAGGAGTACTTTTATTCTCTTACCAATTCTTTTTTCCCCCTAGTTTGTACATGGTGAAATTGAGGAAGTGGGGGCTGTTTTTACACATTTCTGAAGGAATGGTGGGAAATAAGGGTTATTTGAGATGAAATTACCTTGCGTATACTACACATTACATCAATTCTCTAACTTAACGCCATCCTTTCTGGGGCCAATGCCCAAAACAAGGCTCTGAAAAGAGCAGAAACCACAGTCAATGCAAAAACTCCAACTCCCGAAATGCTTCATGCTTGTTTCCACCACTTCCTGGCACGAGCAATCTCTTCAGTACTGGGAGTTGTAGTCATTCAGGGCCCGCACTTCCGGCGCGTAGGGGAGGATGCCTCTCCAGGAAACTACATTTCCCAGGAAGCTGTGCGTACCATTCTCCGCGTTTGGAGCGTTAGACTCCACCCCCGCCCCCTCCTCCCTCCTAGGGCTGCACAGCTCACGCCTTCCTGTTAGTCGGACCTGGTAGAAGTTCACTCCGATCAGCTGATCACAACTGACAACAGGAGAGGAGGAAGCCCGAGAGGCTGCGAAGGAGGTGGGGGGCGGAGATGGAGATGAGGATGGATCCTCCGGTGCCCTGAGAAACAGCCCCCGCCCCCACCGGCGCCCCGTGGTCCCCCGACGCCGCCTGGCCGCAGCCGAGCTGCTCCTTGGTGGGGTCCCCTGGCCGTCGCGGGAAGGGAGGGAGGGAAGGGCACGGCCCTGCCTAGGGGACGAACCGTAGTCCTGGAGCTCAGTCTGCCCCCAAGGGGGGGTGGCGGGTGCGGCTGTTGTGGGGGTGGGGTGGCATAAACAATAGATTCAGCTCTGGCCTCTGCCAGTGTTTGTGGGGGGTTTGGGGAGACCTTCTTTGTTCTTCGACTCTGCTCCTACCCCTCGGGTTGTGGTGGTGGTGCCCGGGAGGAAGGAAGGGTGAGGAATCCCCTGGCTGGAGGGAGACACCGAGGTAGGGGGCAGAGTGGGCATGTTTGCTTTGCCTGGCGGGCGGGGAGGTGTTCTTTTGAAGGCTGATTTTATATTTCTCTCAATTGCGACAAATTTTTGTTTTCGTGTGGGAGCTAGTTTGGGCACGTCTGAGGTTAGAGTGTAAATAAGGTTTCCTAGTCACTCCCTTCGCCTTCCTTGTTTATCTAAAAATAAGATTGATCGGTTGATTTCTGTGTAGGAGGGGTAGGAAGGAAATATCTGAAAAGAGGGCTTTGCAGTTCGTTGGGGCTTTAGAATGGGTGTCAAGGCGAAGGGGAGTTTGGAATATAATTGTAGAAGTCACAAAAGCCCCTTTCCTGCCCCAGTTATATATTTTTTTAAAGAGTTATTTTTAAGTTTTTGAGTAACAAAGAGAAAAATGGTTTTAACTCACTGCAGGTCTGGCTTTGCGGTGGGCCATAGTGCAGGAATTCTGTCTCCTGTTGCTCTTTTTTTTCAGTTAGAGAAGGAACAAAAGGAAGTACAGTAATTGTTTTGTATATTGTTTTCAAGCATGAAATGGTGATTCTTGTTTCCAGGTTTAGAGTTCTTAATAGACATCTGTCTAACCTGAAACAACTCTAGTACTTGGATGGTGCTAAAGTTTATTACTATTATCATTTCTTTAGCTTTTTCAGGCTTCTTTTTCCATCTCTCCCAATTGTGGAGTGCATGTGGGGGTGCAGAAGGTTGTCCCTCCAAGGATTTTTTGCTTAGTGATTTAAAAAATATCTATTTTTATTTGTTTCAGAGAGGAAAGGAGAGGGAGGGAGAGATGGAAACATCAGTGATCAGAGAGAACAGTCGATTGGCTTGATCGGCTGCCTCCAGCATGCCCCACACTGGGAATCTAGCCCTCAAGCTGGGCATGCGCCCTGACAGGGAATCGAACTGTGACCTCCTGTTCATAGGTCGATGCTCAACCATTGAGCCACGCCGGCCAGGCCAGTGATTTTTATTCTGAATTTAATAACTGAGTGAACAGAAAATTTCTGTCTGGGAAATAAAGTAGCAAAGTCTCTTAAATGCCTTGGGCCTAGAGGTAGTGGTTATTTTCAAAGGACAATTTGACCATAATTTTGAGAAGAAATTGCTAAGTCAGAATGATTTTTATTTTTATTTTTTTATTTTATTTTTTTTTTAATATATTTTATTGATTTTTTACAGAGAGGAAGGGAGAGAGATAGAGAGTTAGAAACATCGATGAGAGAGAAACATCGATCAGCTGCCTCCTGCACATCTCCCACTGGGGATATGCCCGCAACCCAGGTACATGCCCTTGACCGGAATCGAACCTGGGACCTTTCAGTCCGCAGATCGACGCTCTATCCACTGAGCCAAACCGGCTTCGGCCTAAGTCAGAATGATTTTTAGAGAGAGGAAGGAAGAGGAATAGAGAAATAGAAACATCCGAAGAGAAAGAAACCTCTATCAGCTGCCTCCTGCACGCCTCCTACTGGTGATGGTGCCGCAACCGCTGCATGTGTCCTGACCCAGAATCTATTCATTGATCTCTTGGTTCATGGGTTGATGCGCAACCAGTGAGCTACACTGGTGAGGCTGAGCCAGTGTAAATTTTACAAGCAAGAATGAGATTTCTTACAGGAGTTTTGGTGTTGTATTTAATCGCAATCTTTTTTTTTTTTTTTAAATCCTCACCTGAGGGTGTTTTTATTTTTTCCAGTGATTTTTTTTTTTTTTTTAAGATATGGAACTCTTCACAAATTTGCATGCCATCCTTGCACAGGGGCCTTGCTAATCTTCTCTGTATTGTTCTAATTTTAGTATATGTGCTGCCAAAGTGAGCAC